TAAAATCTTTAAAAAAAAAAAAATTTCTCTATGAAGACAAGTTTTCTGCCTCAAGGAGATCATGAGAAGCATAACCCACTTTACAATTGAAATATTAAAAGGATTTATTATGCATCTTGGATGCATATAGTTTAAAACTGTAAACCAAGTGAAATATACATAAGCTACATGGGTAAATCACAACCATGAGCATTTATAAAGCACCTGTAATAACAGTGTTACCAAGGCCTCCTTCTCTGAGGAAGTTTATAATTTCGAATATAGAAATGCATAAAAGCCAAACAATGGTTGATGTTTAATTAGTCTTTTAAGCAATTGAACATGAGGGCACATAATTTAAAAATCACATGCAGTTGAACATCAAAATCACATTCAGTTGAACATCACTGTAATACCTAGTCTTTTGGAAATGTTTTCACCTGGGTGACAAAGTGGTAATGTGGTTAAGGAGTGGGCGCGCTGCTCTCCAGCTTCCCTGTCTTGCCTTCCCCCCTTTCTTCCAAGTCCTGCTAGAGCCCGGATCCTGCGGTGTAGGTGGGAATACACAGTAGTTTCTCAAAGATTGATGGAAAGCTTAGCCAAAAGCAAAATGGCTTCTGTTTATCATATCAAGATCATTCGTGTATTTTGTCATCTGAGGTGAGGAAGCAGGAAATGATGGTGACAACACGTTTTTGAAAGGAGAATTTCTCCAATAAACTGGTTTATGAATATTGCCTTAGAAAATTACTGTATTTGTTATGTAAATGCAAACAGGAAAATTTGGGTTTGTGGTCTGGGTGAAGAGGAATTATACATTTCTTTCAACAATTAAGTTAGAGCCAATTTCACTTGTGCTTCTAGGTGATACTAAGTGAAAGCTTCTCTAAATACTGGGAATGTGACATGCCACTTGAAAGAAGAAAGTTAAATGTTAGCTTTCATAAGCCTTACCTCAAAACTTACCTTTTCTACTGCATTTAGAAGTTTTGATAATGTTTTTGTTTTATAAGATGTTAGGTACTGCAGATGATTGAATAAATTATATTCTGATTGTCTTGCCGTTGTAGCACTTCCTAGATTTCATGCTTTGTGACTCTTACGTATGTGTGTGTGTGTGTGAAATAAGCTTTATTATCATCAATATCAGTAGCACTCTGGTTTATAATATTTAGTGAAACTAGTTGTTAGAAGTTCACTAAATTGATAGTTTTTGTCTAAAATTTTATTGCTACTCTAGAAATAATTGAATTCTAACTAAATTTCCTGTGATAATTAAATATGAAATTAATAAGTGGGTTTTTATGATAGAATTGTTTGATTTTGCTGTCCCATTTACCTCAGGCCTCTTAAAGCTTAGCTTTCTATTGATCTCCCCAGAAAAGGTTGTTACTTAACAAGAAACTTTGGGGGAAGAGCAAAGAACTGTCAGAGAAAATAAAAATTATCCTTCCTCCGTGGGAATGGGAATTATAGAAATACAGCATTAACTGCAATTTACAAAGAGATGTTTTATCATGTTTTGGGAGGCATTACAGATATATTTTGAAAAGCCCTAGTAAAAATAACAATTTTAATGATTGTTTCATTTTTATTTAAAAAAATACAGTACCAACAAGTTTCAAACTTAAGGCAAGTAATTTAAATTGTAGTGAGCAAATTCACCTTTTGTTGGAACCCCCTGATTTTTGTCACTTTTCTCCCTTTTGGTCAACAGAATAAAATATAATTAAATGGATAACTAGTCATCTAGTTTGCCTCATATGGATTTCTTTTTTTTTTTCCCTCGGGTTATTGCTGATTATTATAAGTACTCATCAAACTATTGATTTGGTAAATATAATTGTTTCTATGTATTTTTCTTTCAAGAAGGGATAAGTGAAATTTTTTATAACAAGTTTTCTTAATGTGGGGTTTGCTTTTTACAGATGACTTACAAGATGTAATAGAGAGAGCTGTCCGGATTGGTGTTAAAAAGGTAAATTTTTGTTAAGTTTTCTTAAAAATTAAATTTTGGTTAAGATACTGTAGAATAGAAGAGAAAGAGCTAATGCCACACTTGGCATTTTGGGATATGTATTGTCAACAAGTAATATTAGCAAGTAAATGAAGTAAAATACCACACTTAAGTGGAACAGACCTCATGCTTGGATAGTTCTTTATGTGAGCAGAAATGTGGTAAATGGCAAAGTGTCTTTGAAAAAAATTTTTTACAACCTATCTGAATTACCAGGCTTCTCAAGATGCAACTCTTAAAAATAAATTTTGTAACATAACTTAGCATTTGTTAGAATTCAGTGGTCTTTTGTTAGAATTCATTGGTCATCAGAAAGACTTGTATCTGTGTATGGATATACCTTTTCAAATAACTGAGAAGACACTTTAATTTTTATAGTACTAATTTGATTATCAGGAAAATTCTGCTTTTTAGAGAGTTCTAAGCAAATGAACAGTAGCTCTGTGTCAAATTCTTTGAATAGATACTTCTTTTTAATTAGTATTTTTAAAAAATATCAAGGTAACCCACATACGCACACATAAAGTTAAGTTCCCCAGTGTGGTGTCCAGAGACTTGGTAGCTGCGGCTTCTGGTTGAATTACCTCCATTGTAAGAGAGGACCCTGCTGGCTCCTGAGATCCGCAGTCCCAGCTCTACACTGGAGAGTCACTGCTCACAAGTAATAAGAAAGGATAAAAATTACAGCATTCACTTCTCATTATGCAGTCATTCTCTGCTTGGTAAATCACTTTATAAAATGCTTTTCTGCAGACTCTGAAATACCAAGCTCCTAAATTTTCATGTGTCAGCTGTGAGTAGTTTAATCTAACATTTGGAAACGTACACACACCGATGTAAGAATGACAGAAATGGAATTTACTCAGTCGTGGTTCCTAGTTGGAATCTAACTTAGTGTCTTGCAGTTAAGTTGTAGTGATGAAAAGCACAGTTATGGCCTCACACCGCTGGGTTCCAGCCCCAGCTTCATTCTTCAAAGCTTCGTAACATGGGCGCTTCTCTCTCTAGGCTTCAGTTTTCACACCTGTAATTCGAGAATGATAATGCCTAATTAAGGGAGTTGTTGTGAGAGTTAAATAAAGCTGGAGTGCAAAGCACTTGGTATTGTACCTGCGTAAACACCCTTTATTCTATCAGGTTTCTGGTGGAAGCCACCATGATCCTGATATCATTGTGACCTGCGAGAGGAAATTACGTTCTCTGGTCTTGTCCTTGCTTTTTCATCTATTTGGGAAAGTTATAATAGATAAAAGAGAGACTTGAATAGAAACTATTTTACAGAATAGAAATACTAGATCTGGGCACCTGGTCTTGTATTAAAGAATTAGGTAGTGTTAGTAAACAGTCAAGTTCTCCCAATATTTTTGTTAAGATGTTATACCCTGTGTTTTACAAGCAGTTGAGGATTTAATAATGGTTGTGCGTTCCCTGAATTAGGTTCTCAGTGCCTATTATATTAGAAGTTGAGGTTGCTATATGAAAACATCTGTTCATCATTTGCACTTCCTCCTGTGTTTTGTATGTTTTCTCTTTAGGCGCGTGCCTAGAAGGAATTCTTGATTTTGGCTCAGTGAGGCGCTTGGAGTGAGATGCTTAAAAAAATCTACATCAGTGTGCTTAGTAAGTCCCTTCTTTAGAAGGGCACACACTTCAGCACTGCCTCAGTAGCCGGCACCCACACACCGCTCTTTGTGACATTTTCCCTTTAATACAGTCGTTCTGACCGCCGGTGGACCCTGAGGGCGCCTCTTTAGAAATGTGCTTTCTGCCAGGAGCCATGCATTTCCTTACGAAGAATTCAATATGCCTTAATCCAGTGATGGTCAAACTATTGGTCTCAAAACCCATTCACGTTCTTCAATATTCCTGAAGACCCCAAAGAGCTTTTCTTTATGTGGGTTTTATTTGCTAATATTGGAAATTAGAACTAAGACGAATGTAAAATATCTATTAACAGTAAACCATTATATAACATAGGTAGCATATTTTTATGAAAAATAAGTATTTTCCAAACCAAAAAAATGTGATGTGAGTGGAACTGTTTTATTTATTTATTTTAAACATCTCTTGAATGTCTGGCTCTTAATAGAAGACTGCTGAACTTGGATATCTGTTTTTGCAGTCAGTCTGTTGTGATATTACACATCATGTAGCCTCTGGAATATCTCATTGCACACTTGGGGCCGGGTGAGAGTGAAAAAAGGCAAAGAGCATCTTAGAATTATTATGAAAATAGTTTTGACCTCACATTCCCCCAGGGGTTCTAGGACCGCACTTGGAGAACTGTTGAATTAATAAACACTACTGAATCTCCAATTTAGATTAAAGGAATTTTTTTTTTTTTTAAGATTTTTTATTTATTTATTTGACAGAGACACAGCGAGAGAGGGAACACAAGCAGGGAGAGTTGGAGAGGAGAAGCAGGCTTCCTACGGAGCAGGGAGCCCGATGCGGGGCTCGATCCCAGGACCTTGGGATCATGACCTGAGCCGAAGGCAGCCGCTTCACCGACTGAACCACCCAGGCGCCTCAGATTAAAAGAACTCTAAATTTAGAAGTCTTTAGTTATTTGGTCTTTCATAATGTGATCTCTGTGCTTAAGGAGCTCTTGATCTAACAGGAAAAACAGACATGTGAATACATTTTAATGGGAAGGCGTGACAAATTCTGTGTTGTATGTATGCTTGTATGGAGAGGGGTGGTCAGGGACCACTCTAAATAGGTGATGACCTTTCAGCCAAATTTTAAAGGAAGGGTAAGTGTGTGACAGTCAAAGAGAGAAAAGCATTCTGAAAAAAAGCAGCAGGAAGGCATGTTTGGGAAACTGTTGCTGATGCTCTGTTCAAGTAGGCTTATTTTCTTTCTATTTCAGTTTATGATTACAGGTGGAAATCTGCAGGACAGTAAAGAGGCACTGCATTTGGCACAAACAAATGGTATCCTCATATTACTTTTACCCCCTCCCCCCCAATATGAATTATTTTGAAGAAATCTTTCTAAAAACTGCCTCAGGTACAATACAATGGATTGTGACTGTAGAAATAACAGGAAAACAGACTGATTGCAATGGGACATGATTAAAATGCAAGAATTCTAAGTGCCCACTGGTGTATCAGATGTGATTAAACCCTCTCTCTCACTGTACTTAACAATTATTTTAAGATTTCAGTTAATGAGAATTAAGTTCACTGGGTATACAGTTTAGCCCCACATATTTCTGATGTAAGATTTTTTATGTTGTAATGTGCTTAGATGTGAGTTGCTTTTTATTTGCATTTTTAAAACTTAAACTGTTAAGGGTCATTTATTAAATATTTATCACGTAGACCGTTGTTGTAAGGCCCCAGGAATGCAAGTAATAATAAATAATCTCTCGGCTCACTTTATGTTCATACATTTTGCATTTTATTTAAAATCTATGAAGTTTTGTAACTGGTTCCTAAGGAAATCCTAGTTACAGAAAACCTCTCCTTTATCTGGCATTCACTTTACCTAACTTATTTTGGTTTTGTGTTTTGGCATGCATGCTTCTTATGCTAGACATTGAAGAATTAGGCATTCCATGTTATTTTTCAAAATACGGATTTACTTATTAAAAGTTATTTTTTATGGAAATCTTTCTAAAATGCATACTTCTCTTCAGGATCCACTGACACTTTTTCTTAGTGATTAAAAGTAGTCACCTTCCGAGATGCCTTTGGGGGTATAAGAATATGGCCTTCTATACTTTTTAATCCCCAAAGAGATATGCTTTTAAAAGTTCTTGAAGCTCCCCTTGTCAGCCCTCTTCACTCCTCCTCCTGTACTGTGTCCTCACTGCTTTAAAACCTCTGCCTCCTTTATATGCAAACACCTGCAGGAGAGGCTGAGGAAGGCTCCCCACCTCTCCTGTGGGTTCAGGTGCAGGCCACTCAGAAGCCCTTTTTTTTTTAAAGATTTTATTTATTTATTTGACAGAGAGAGACACAGCGAGAGAGGGAACACAAGCAGGGGGATGGGAGAGGGAGAAGCAGGCTTCCCTCTGAGCAGGGAGCCCGATGCGGGGCTCGATCCCAGGACCTTGGGATCATGACCTGAGCCGAAGGCAGACGCTTAACGACTGAGCCACCCACGCACCCCTCAGAAGCCCTTTTTGACTTCATATTTGTGTTCCATACAATTACAGCTATCAAGGTGTGGTCTCCAAATAAGTGAGCTTTATTTTTCATTAGAAAAACCAATCCCAGGGTGTCTGGGTCAGTCAGTTAAGCTTCTGTCTTTGGCTCAGGTCATGATCCTAGGGGTCCTGGGATTGAGCCCGGAGAGTGCTCCCCGCTCAGTGGAGAGCCTGCTTCTCCCTCTCCCTCTGCCCCTCCCCCACCTTGTGCTCTCTTTCTTGTTCTCAAATAAGTAAATAAAATCTTAAAAAAAAAACAAAAACAAATCCCCCTTCCATCTCTTTAAGTCACCCTTTTTAAGGGGAAGAAATACATTTTGTTATATTAAATACATGAAAAAGACAGTGATGTGAATAGTGAATATAAAGGATATAATTAGGTTATGACATTTCATTCTCCAAGAAATTGTTTCATTTTCTATTCTACAAGACTCAGTAAATACCAAGCTTTGGAAAGTTGAATTAATTCTTTTTACAAATATGTTATGGCAATTTTCATATTCATGTCCTGCTTTGTTAAGGTGTTCCAAAAATTATATGATTGAACTTAATCAATTCTTGTGGTTCAAATAGTTTATGGCTATTAAAAATTAACCAGTTGAACTTATTCTATCATTTTGCATATTAAATGTAATATGAAAAATATTTTGAAAATAATCCTAAGACATTATTTTGTGCTAGATATGTTTTTCAGTACAGTTGGATGTCATCCTACAAGATGTGATGAATTTGAAAAGAATGATCCTGATCTTTACTTAACGGAGTTGTTAAATCTTGCTGAAAACAATAAGGGGAAAGTTGTAGCAGTAGGGGAGTGTGGACTGGGTAAGTGCCAACCTAGCCCTGTTAGAGTGACTTTGAAAGTGATTTGTTCTGTATAGGGTAATGAGTTGTTACTGGTTCTTTTATCTTTTAAAGATTTCGACCGACTACAGTTCTGTCCCAAAGATACTCAGCTCAAGTAAGGAAATTTTTTGACTTTCGTAATTATCATACAATCTTAAGTGATTTTTTTTAAATAGCTTTTATCTGTTCAGGATGTAGTTGGATTAAGCATCAGGATTTTTTGTTTTTCCCTTTGTATATCAAAAGTTAAGTGAAATGGAAGGGATGGAAGCATACAGTTCCTAACTGATTAACCATCTAACTTAATTTTAATGGTAGAAATAAGGGATGAGTTTTACGTGATGGAGACTTTCGTTGTTCTTTGCCTCATGAATGTATTCATGCATGAACCATTCCAGTGAAATGATTTAAATTCAGTTGGGGGCATGATTTAAGAGCCAAGGGTAAGAAATTATAGGATCAATCATCAAAGTAGGAAAAACCTCCTCTTGCTGGGCACTGGATATAGTCAACTTAGAATGTGAGGGTCTTTTCACAGGACCCATGTGGAGAGTGGTGGCGTCTCAGAAAATTCCAAAGTTCCCAACCCTTGTAGACTTCCTGCAACCCACTGCCTATACCTTTTAGTTGGAGCTCCTGCCAGCATATCGGTGGGTAGTGTGATAGGCCAAAAAGAAAAATTAGGTCATAGACTTAATTTAAGACATGAGCATTTTGTTGCGTTTCAAAAACAATGTATTAATTATCCAGGTGATAAAACAGTAGAATAAATCCTCTCAGAGCTGTTTAGTGATGTATGATGCTATGGTTTTCAGGGACATTCACATGATTACCAAGCAGGATTACTAAATCCTTAACATCTCTTGAATATCATTTATAGGTCACTCACCTTAAAAGTTCACATATTCACATTTAAATAGAAAAATAGTTTGTTTCTTAGGTTAAGCCCAGAGATCATAATTCCTCCACTTTAGATTCTGTTTTTGGCCAAGATGAATGTCATGACGCAAACAGACGGTGTAGGGTGTGACAGTCAAGGGCAGTGGTAGAGTCCCTCAGGATTCCCTCCTCATGAGACTTTGATCCAGATGCATTCAAACTGATTCTAAAATGCAACCTGAATACTTTAAACTCGATTTCTTTTGTATCTAATGAAAATATTGAGAAATAAAAATTACTGCTCTGAGAATATTTCCACCATCACCTTAAGATCAGAACTTAAAACAGTATGTATAGCAGGGTATAGTTTATGCTTGAACACAGATACCAATTGCCCAGGTATTAATCTGTACTAGAGAGTTTAAACTCCATTCATTCAGTGAATGATTACCAAGTGCCTCCCCAGTGTAATACAAAGAATAGGCTTGGTTCTGATGCCTTTATAGACAAGAGAGGACATAAATAATTAAAATGGTTTGGAAAATGCTAACAAAAAGATGTATGACAGCAGGGGTAAGGACCTTCTGGGGGAGTCAGGGAAGGCTTTGCTAATAAGGTGAGGGGATGTGAGCTAGGTCTCTTCCAGAGTAGATAAAGCTAAGGACAAACTAAAGTATGGTATAAATTTTGAAAAGACGGGCAGTTCAATTTGAGATTTTTTTAAAATTATAAAACATCAAATGATTTAGTAAAAAAACACACCAGTAGGAATCCCATTTGGGTTGATGTTAAGGAAACAACCCCCCCCCCCCGCCTTCTGCCGATGCTCCCTCTTTTCCCCTAGCATATGCTCCCAGAGTGCAGCTCCCTCCCTGCACACAGGGTGCTCTGTACTTGTTTCAGCATTTTGCACATTGTCCTGGAATACTTTTATGTCACCCCTTCCTGTCCCACAGCAGACTAGTGTCGGTGTTCTCCGGAGGCACGTACCCAGCCTCACTCATGTTGTCGTACCCACAGCACCATGCACAGTACTCTCAGCGCACGGTGGGTACTCCGTAAATGTTCACTGAGTTCTTAATAAGGGGAAAAGGCTCTTTTTGATTTCTGGAGAGCAGCATGGATTAAAAAGCTTATAATTCAGCTTTTACTGTTGGATCTTTTCTTGGAAGAATTTAAATTTGGGGGCTGTTCTTTTATACCACCTGAGACAATTAACCAGTGTATGGTTTGTTGCTTTTTTTTTTAAGTAAAAATGCAGTCAGGAAAAAGATGTATCAGAAGAGAAAAATAGAAAATGGTGTGATGTGAGTAGGCAAGACAGAACTAATGGGCAGTAGACACAGTGGCTAAAAAATACTGTCTGAGACCTACTGGTAAGTAAAGGCAGTATGTAACTGTGCAAAGTAGTTCTCTTTAGAATCAACAGCTTTGGGTTTAAATCGTAACTGCCATTTGGTGGCTGTATGTCTCTGTAAATCTCCATTTCCTCATCATTAAAATGGGGCTAATACTGCCTACCTTTTTTAACACTTGGTATGTAAAGCCCATCGCAACATGTATATGCTCCAGAAATTGTGGCTGTGGGGTAGTCTTAGAAATACTTTCATCCTGGGCGCTTGGGTGGCTTAGTTGGTTAAGTGACTGCCTTCAGCTCAGGTCATGATCCTGGAGTCCCTGGATTGAGTCCCGCATCAGGCTCCCTGCTCGGCAGGGAGTCTGCTTCTCCCTCTGACCCTCTCCCCTCTCATGTGCTCTCTTTCTCATTCTCACTCTCTCAAATAAATAATAAAATCTTTAAAAAAAAAAAACCAAAACTTCCATCCTAAGGAAAATACAGACTCTTCTTTTTCCTTCGGGTCTTTGAAAAGATTTTTTAAAGAGCATGAAGACAAGGAAGAAGCCGGAGTTGCTAAGGAAAGGTTTTCCTTGAAGCATATGCTGTATTTTCAGTTTCTGCCCCGTGCTACATTCCCTTTCCTTGTTGCAAGTTCAGTGCTTAGTTCACTTGAGTTGGAGGAATTTGCTGTGGGATTTTCCTTGGGGCTTTAAAATGTTGATACTGGGCAGGTCTGTTTTGGAAAAAGAAATCCAACATCAGACAAGATTTCAAAATAACCGTCTGGGGATTTGGGGAACCTCAGAGATGAGAAAGTGAGGCTGTCCTTGCCATGGGCCAGTCCAGAGGCAGCCCTGCTCTGTGGATTAAGGTGCAGTGCTGTAAGGCTCTGGGCGTTTGGGAGTAGCCTCAGTCTGAATTACTAACAGCTACTCGGAAGCTGACCTTTTCAAGCCCTTGTCCTCAGTTATTGTTGACCCTAAAATGGAAGAAGCAGTAATACAATCAGAAGCAAATTACAGCTTCACTAAAATGAGCAAATCTAACTTCAGCAGTGCTTTTTGTATGTGAATTAAGAAAAAAATAAAAATAAAAAGAGAAATCTCTTGATAGGTGCCAGTTTCTGCTGCCCTGTAACTTATGCGATTTCTATTTACCATGGTGGGTTTTTTTCTTTAAAGACAACAGGTACTTAATGTCAAGCACTGGTTATCCTCAATTTATGTCATTAGGAGTAATTGGCCTCCTTAAGATACCTAGCTAGCTTGAGTGCATGGACCTTTCTTTTCTCATATGCAGAATTCTGGAGGCACGTTGCTTGAACATCTGTTACTTTCATAATTTTTACTTTTGCCTGCTGTGATAGGCTTATTCTCAAGGGGATCATTAGATTCTGTAAGTCTGTGGCTCGGTTGTGTGGCTTTGCACATAGAATTGTGTGTGAAAGAAATGATCCGTGTAGAGTGGGGAGCCGTAAAGCGGAGAGTGCGGTGTGTAGCCAGAAGCCAGAGCCACGGTCAAGTTTACGTAATGACTGGAGCGCATTTCATTGCTGACATTTGAATTACTTTAGAGGTTATGGAAATAGTGACTTTTCTTTCAGTATTTCATTTCTATTTCCTACAGTCTGAAATTTCAGCACTTTGTTAACTAAAATTATTTTTGCTTATTCTAGCCCAGCAGAATCTGAAAAGGTGATTTAAAAGCCTAAACACTGGGTAATAAAGACAAAGACCACCAACATTATGAAAGCTATTTAAGAAGTACACTTATATTTCTAATTTTAAAATTTAGCATTTCCAAGTGGACAAAGGGGTACTCCAGGAAAATGGTTGTCCTGTATTTCAGGGAGACAAGATAGAGGAATATATAGCAAGAGATTTAAATTAAACAGCGAGAAATTGTTCCCTAAAATTAAGGTGCCTAGAAGAGGTAAACTCCTGTAGGAAAATAAGACCCTTACTGTCTGTAACTCTTGGTTTCATTTGAACTGCATGGCCATGAGTGGAGAATGAGTAAGCCCCGCGCTGAGTGAGAAGACCCGGAACACCCACCCCGTTATATCATCTGGCTATTGTCATTATGCTGTGCAACCAGAAAAGGCTTCTTAGAAATGTCACAACTTTGTCATTTTGGCTGGGACCTGGAATTAGAGCACTCAAGTTCTGGGTCCAAGTTTGTCATGTTGTGTTGTGATCTTGGATGAGGTCCTACATCCCCTGACACCAGCTCTTATCCTATTCTAGGGTTATTTTGTGGATCAGATGAGATAATGGTATGTGGCACTTGAAAAACCTTTTTATAAAGTACTCTCCAAACATTCACAGCTGCCATTTTATTTTTTTAAAGATTTTATTTATTTATTTGAGAGGGAGAGAGAGAGCACTGCAGGGGGAGTGGTAGGCAGAGGGAGAGGGAGAAGCAGGCTTTCTCCACTGAGCGAGGAGCCCGATGAAGGGCTCGATCCCAAGACCCTGGGATCACGACCTGAGCCGAAGGCAGACGCTTAACCGACAACCACCCAGGTGCCCCACGGCTGCCATTTTATCATATCATTTTTATATCTTTGAAAAACAGTGTTTCAGTTTTTGTGCTACTTATATTTATTTAATAAATCCTTGTGTTTAGTGGTAGTAATTTCTTATATAACAGCACATGGAAAACACTGAGTATAAAGCTTTCCCTGGCCCCTTGCTGGAGCGAACTGACTTCCACTGATGGTGCTCAGCCAGCTCTCGGGGCAAGAAGCTGGTGGTGTATTCTTCACCTCCAACACATGCTGCAGGGAAGGGATCCCATGGGTGATGGGAGGGTGTCTGCTTCATTTGCTTGGGTTTGGTGGGAAAAGCTAGTTAAAATTAACTGAATGAGCCACCCAAGTGCCCCTCAAGTAATTATGTGTCTGCCTTCAACTCAGGTCATGATCCCGGGGTTCTGGGATTGAGCCCTACGTCAGGCTCCCTGCTTCTGCTAACCACCCTGCACCCCCCCCTTGTGCTCTCTCTAGCTGTCTCTCTCTCTCTCAAATAAAATCTTTTTTTAAAAAAAGTAATTATTTGAGGGAACAGCTTCCATCACTGTAAACTTAAACATTATAGCTCTCTATTTCTAGTGATGAGTAGTAAAGTGCTACCTAATTTACCTAGCAGTTATAATGGAAAGCTAACCAACATTTTTGAAAATAACTTTGTAATCCCAGAAAATGAAGTATCCTTTTCTGGAAGTTGTTATAAAAAAGCCTTTGGCTAAGCCAGATGTGTTTTAAATGTCTGAGTTCATACTTCTATAATCTCAAAATAATAAAAGTTTTTTAACTTAAAAAAATATTTAACATAATTATCAAGGAAATTTTTTTTTTGGTGTCCTACAGATATTTTGAAAAACAGTTTGAACTGGCAGAACAAACAAAATTACCAATGTTTCTTCACTGTAGGAACTCACATGCTGAATTTTTGGGTGAGTTAAAGCTGAAATCTCATTTAGAATTTAAGAATTTTACAGAAATCAAGCAAGGTATTTGCCAACAGTTGTTTGTTTTTAATTCACAGACATAATGAAAAGAAACAGAGACCGGTGTGTGGGGGGAGTGGTAAGTAGAAGAGTTGTTTTTACTAGATGATGCCCAGAAGCTTCCTTGTTCCTCAGGTTGGCGAATTCAGGTATCAGCCGTAGATGTTCTTCCCCCCCCCCTTACTGAAGGACATACATTTACTATAGAATCTATGGACCAGATGTGATATATAAATCACACTGATTTAATTACATTTATTTTGTTCAAAGTACAAGAATGATAAAGAATTCGGTTCACAAGAAAACCCCATGAATTTACTCACATTTTAGGAGTGTGGGTGATACTCTTTTTCTCTGCCTCTTCCATCAGACGTTCCTCAGTGTTTTCCAATTGAAACTCTGAGCAGAGTATAAACTAATTTTAATCAAGTATTTTAATCCTCACTTCAGGTTTGCCTTCTTAATTTCTTGTCAGCTGTATTCATTTACTGTTAACCACTCTGATTAGAGACCCCTTTTTTCTGTAATTTGCTTCCACTCTCAACACTTCTGTGTGGTCATTTCAGTCAGTTCTCATAAATCTTATCTGCCTTAGCTCAGGCATCCAAAGCAGCGTTTTTTAAATCTTTTGGATTATGGGTTCTTTTGAAAATCTGCCTCAGAAAAATTCTCAGATGCACAAACTTTCACCTGTAATTTTAGGAGCGATTCACTAGTCTCTAGCAGAAAAGCTAAGGTCCAAGTATATAAAATCAGTCGTACTAAGTCCAACGAAGAAAAGAGGAAGTGGCCCTGAGCACTCACTGTATACCCACACTGTGTTGCTTTGAGTGTCGCCTGTATTCTCTCGTTTGTAGCCTCTGCTTCATGTCCCCCAGACGCTAGTGATGTTTTCTGCAGTGCTGTGCACATTTTTATCTACAGTTTACTGACCCTGCAGTTTATCCTTTAGGAACTGAGAGAGGCTTAGAGGCTCTGATTAACACCCTTGGGATTAATGGTTCCACCTCTTAGCCCATTTGGTTTATTTCTAAAGAAGAATTTACTTAACAGCAACAAATCCAACCTAAATGTTTGACTTTTATCAAAAAAAGATATTGCCAAGGGGCGCCTGGCTGGCTCAGTTGGTAGAATGTGTGACTCTTGATCTTGGGGTTGTAAGTTCAAACCCCACATTGGGTGTAGAGATTACTTAAAAATTAAAAAAAAAAAGACTGCCAAATAAAGTATAACTAATTTTCTGAAATGGTTTATGAAGTCTTATTTAAAATTATTTGATTTTAATGGAGGACATATCTTCTAGTCAGCTGGAAATGCTGAAGGGAAGACTAAACCCTTCTGGGCAGTTGTGGAACACAGTTTTATTTTTGAGAAGCATGTTATTATTTATTTATAAAAAGATTTATTTAAAAGAACATGCATACATGAGCGGGGGACGGGCAGAGGGAGAGGAGAGTGAGGATCCCAAGCAGACTCCGCACTGAGCCCCACATGGGGCTCGATCCCATGACCCATGAGATCATGACTGAACTGAAACCAAGAGTTGGATGCTTAACCAACTGAGCCACCCAGGTGCCCCGACTTGTTAGGTGTGTTTAAAGAAGTGTTGTTACTTACTGTTTTGGTTACACAAATACATCCAAAGTGTAAAAAACTATGCTTGAATCCCTGTCTCTTTGAAGGAGAACACCACCATCTCACTCCTTTTTGCCTCCTGAGGTGATTATTACTGTTTTTTTAGTGACATTATCACAACTCTGAATAGATCTTCTTAAAACTTGCCTCTTAAGTCCTCTCTCTCCTAGAAAAAAGTATCTCGTAACATAAAAATTGAACATTTGAAGATACACTCTGCATGGTTTTGTCACATTTTTAACTTCATGCTTTTGCCTGAGAATGTGGCTCCCGCCGCCGCTCCCCTTCCTGGGGGCACCGCAGGAATGCTGGAACAGCCATCAGCCAGCCCCGGACAGAAATCCCAGGCGGCTGTCTCCCCTCTTGCCGCACATCAGTGGAGATGTTGACCCATTTTATTGGATTTGAAAATAAAAATTGTAGGGGCCACCGCATTTGAAACCCTCTGGTCCAGAAAACCCTAATGCATCTATATTTTTGCTAAGAAAGTCTTATTAGTGTTATTTAGGATTTTAAAGAAAGAGTAATTATTCAATGAAATTGTACCTGTACGTCCTTAGGTGCATTCATTTGATGGTACGAAGGAAGCAGCAGCTGCCTTGACTGACTTGGATCTCTACATAGGATTTAATGGCTGGTAGGTCCTTAAGTTTGCTTGTTTTATATTAGGTAGATTCCTTGTTTTACAGTGAATTGTAGATAAGGATTTAAATGTATTTATTTATCACATTGATCTTGGCCTGCAAATTTCCTAAGTATGAAAGAAATTAAACTACATTACTCCTGCAAGTAAAACTTGAAAGTTACAGGGCATCTGGCTGGCTCAGTTGGTAGAGCATGCGGCTCTTGATCTTGGGTGGTGAGTTCAAGCCCCACTTTGGTCACAGAGTCTACTTAAAAAAAAAAACTTGCAGGTTATAAACTACTAACCCTGTATCACAGTTATAGAAAACAGTTTTGTATGGAGATTGACAGCTTTCTCTAGCAACGCAATTTTTTCTCAAGTCATTTTATCCCTTTAAAACACCCATGTTGGGGCGCCTGGGTGGCTCAGTCGTTAAGCGTCTGCCTTCGGCTCAGGTCATGATCTCAGGGTCCTGGGATCGAGCCCCACATCGGGCTCCCTGCTCTGCAGGAAGCCTGCTTCTCCCTCTCCCACTCCCCCTGCTTGTATTCCTGCTCTCACTCTCTCTGTCAAATAAATAAATAAAATCTTAAAAATAAATAAATAAAACATCCATGTCCTCAGCATTGTGTATGCATATACACAAGTGATGTCTGCCCCAGGGGAAAAGTCCTACTATGACATAATCATTTTGTGTATCTCTATAGGCCAAGAAACTGAGGCTCACAGTAGTTAACAGGCATAAAGTAACTCACAGCTTGAGAACCAGTGTCCTCTGGCCCCACCCTCGCTGGCCTTCCTGCTATTCCACCACACCAGTCTGCGTAAGCCCAGGATAGTCAGCTAGCACCGCTGGGCCCCTGGGCTTGCCCTCTCCAGTGTCTCATTCCTTTTAAAACTACCACTTAGCTGACTACATTATTTTTAACTAAAATATCTCTTCAGGGAAATAGAACCATGAAATTATTTGCTATAGAGTTCAGATTTATTTATATGTCCTAGATGCTGCTTCTATATTTTAATCATTTAATTAATAAACCTCTATGGAAAGGAATACATGAATAATGGATTATAAAGTAGTTCTAAAAAACTTACACAGTCTCCCCACCATACTCTCTACCTGTAAGTCAGCTTTTCCAGAGACGCGCACTTTGCTCTTCATCGTCTTATGTCTAAGTAATATTTATATATGTGCGGTTATCTCTTAATTCATCTCCTCTGTCTGTTTCCATGAAGGAGTATGAGCGTCTTCGTTCTTATACCCAGCACTTTCCTGCCACCTGCATTCTTTCCTCCACAGGCTTATCGGTGTACTTCAGAATTTTAGGTTGTATGCATATTTAGTGTTTTCATTATTAGGTCTGTGTAAATATTGTTGACTGCTGAACTATAGGATATACCGCTTTTTTATTTTCCTGGAGCAACTGTCCTCATTTTTATTTACTTGGTTTTCTTCAAAAGTTGAAGCCTTCTCCCACTTTCCAACAGCTCTATAAAATGCCTTTCTCTGTTTTTCTGCATGAGGAAAACTGTCTAGATAATCTGGCTGTCTAGATTACCTGCCAAGTTCCTGACCTTTCCATCTTCTTCATTTTGGACCACTGTCTGCTCTGTGATGGAACTCTTTTATATCCCATGTTTCAGTTTTGTTGAATGAATTTACTTTGCTCTTGAAAGTTTTCCTGGATAGTTAATGAAAGAAAAACAAAAACCCTTCCATGTGGTATTTTTCCTGGGCATAAAATTCTGGACTAGAAATAATTTTCATGAGAATTTACAGGGCTCCATTTCTAGGTTTAATGTCAGTAAATCAGTGGCTATTCTGATTACCAGTCCTTACCCTGTGACCTACTATTTTCTCCCAGTGGAATATTTTATTTCTTTACCGTTGGTATTACCAGATTTCACAAAGGTGTTTTGATGGGTTTGTCATTCAGAGTTTCTGCATTTTCTACTGGCCCATTCCAGCTAGAAGCTCATCTCTGTCAGTCCTGGGAAATTTTTTCTGTTCTTTCTTTGGACCGCCCAAGCTCATACTGTGATCTCAATTTTTTTCCCCTTATAATTTCTATCTCTGTTTTTCTCCCTACTTTTTTTTTTTTTTTTTAGATTTTATTTATTTGACAGAGAGAGGGACAGCGAGAGCAGGAACATAAGCAGGGGGAGTGGGAGAGGGAGAAGCAGGCCCTCTGCGGAGCAGAGAGCCGGATGCGGGGCTCGATCCCACGACGCTGGGATCATGACCTGAGCCGAAGGCAGACGCCTAACAACTGAGCCACCCAGGTGCCCCTTCCCCCTACTTTCAAAAATATTTTTCAACTTTTTAATAAAATTTCAGCTTTCTGGTTTTAATCTCTGAAAGCTCTTCCCTACCATTATCTAGTTTGACAGATGCACCTTATCTCTCTAAAGATATGAATTATAGTTATTTTTTTGTTTGCCATAGGATGCTTTTATTTCCTCCTTTTAGTTTCTGTCATGACTTTCTTCAAATGTCAGGCAATTCTTATGCAGTATATTTAAAAAATTAAGAAAAAAGCTCTTTGGAATCTCTGTGGGGAGACAGCCCATCAAGTGGCAGGCCAGCTGACCTCACCAGGGATTCCTAAATGTCAGTTTGTCAGGATCTTTCTGGGTTGCTTCATTTTCTTCAGAGAGGGATCCTCTGATCTCTGCTGGAGAAACGGTGGGGATTCATCAATGTACCTGTGTTCTGGAGCAGAATGAGGTTGGAGAGAGGACCTCACCGAAAAGTTAGCATTCAGACCGGTCTCTGTTTTCAGCCCCATGCTTCCCCCCTGCGCTCCTCTGTGCTGCTTGTTCTCTGATTTAGCTTCTCCAGAGACTGCACGCACCACCTCTCCCCGCTTCTCTCTCTCAGGCCAGGGGTAGGGGGCAGAAGTAGTCCTCACTGTACCAGTTCACTGGAAAGTAATGAGACTTCTGTCTTTTCTGTTCCCCACCTTTTAAAACAGTCCCCACTCAGTCCCTTGCCTTATCCCAGCCTAACTACCTAGATCTTTCAGTTCTTAGAACTTCCTTGGGTGAATTGGTTTGCTTGTCTTCAGTATCTCTCTCTGTAGCCACATGGCACTTAAATCACTTAGCACATAAACAGATCATTTATCATTTTACCATCTACTTTCTGCTTTATATTTTGTGACTAGGAGTCAAAAACATCTCCTAGTTTCATCAAAATATGTGGGGTTTTATTTATTATTTTGAAATGATTTTTAAGAGAAGACAGTAGGGGTGCCTGGGTGGCTCAGTTGGTTGAACATCTGACTCTTGGTTTTGGCTGACGTGGATTGGGCCCCACGTCAGGCTCCATGCTCACCATGGAGTCTCCTTGAGACCCTCTCTCTCCTTCTGCCCTGCTCGCACTCTTTCTCTCTCTCAATAAATTTTTTTTTTAAAGGGAGAGGGTAGAAGGTCTTTATTTCACCAACTTGAAATGTCCATCTGTCTTAAGAGATTTCTATGTGACCTTGAATTTATAAAGATTTGGCTTTAAGTTAACGACGTGAGATTTTTTTTTTCCTGTATTAACTCAGAATTAATGTTAGTCGTTTAATCAGTTTCTATTCTTATTCTTAAATTCAATTTATTGCAGTCTTAATCTGAGTCTCTGAGTTATGGTAATTTAACCTATACTACCTATGACATAAAGTCTGGTTTTCTAAGGGTTAAATTATAACATTTTCCTCCAAGAAAATGGGAAAGTTTCAGATTTGACTACAGAATCATATAGCTGCTCTCCCTTAAATGGGAAACCTTATTAAAGATATAATTGGCTTTGATTTAAAAATATTTCTTCATAGTATATATTCTGTATTTAGATCAGTTTTTACAAGCATGGAGTATACGTAGGAAACATCTAAGTCAGACATTTCTTTTCAAGAGATTAAAAATATGCAACTAATTTGATAGCTGGAAGTTTTAAATACCCATATCAAGCATAGCAATATATTTTTTGAAAATACTCATATTGATCAACTGTTAAGCTGGCCGAAAAATAAGAGTTTTGTTTTTTTTCTAGAGAACAGTAATAAAAAGGCTGGTATTTATGGCAAACTAGACACACATTTCCCTTTCCCTCCTCCTAAAATCATTCTAAAGTAAAATCCTACATATTCAAAATGGAAAACCTATAAGAGCAAAGAAACAAGGCTGGAGTTTCTGGAAGAGACCACTTAGACTAAAGGGCCCCGGAGGAGGTGAGAACAAATTTAGCATGCAGAATCGCAGAGAGGATTTTGGGTTTAGAATTTGTGACAAATAGGACCAAATTAGGGTAATTCAAGGCCTTTGTAGAGAAAGATATCACTCCCTATATTCATTGCCATGCACAGAGTGCAGGTGCAGCAAGCATTTCTACTCAGAGGGAAATCGCTTTTCTCAAGAAAACTGAACAAATTATGAGAGCCAAGACTTGGCAATTCGAATGTTGATCCCATAGAAAAGCATTTAGAGGAGCAAAAGCCTCACAGCCCCCTCCCTTCTCACTCTTAAATGAAATTGCAGATCAGTATGCCCAGTCCTGGCCTGTCCCACAAGGAGCTTCCAGTTAGACTCCCCACTCAGAACTGACAGTAAAACAGTCCCCTGTTTTCACAAAAGCAGAGGGAACACAACACTGGCAACTCAAGCCTCCTTAAGTATAAATTGATAATTAAAGACCACCGGATAAATGAGGTGAACCAACAGGAAGAAAAAGACCAAGATAAATAGAAAAATCAACACCAGAGGAAACAAGGAAAAATTTAAGAGAGACCTGATATAATAAAGGCTGAGATGTTACATCCATAAAATATGAACAGAATATTACAAGAAAAAAACATGAGAGTTCCTTAATGATTAAAAAATGAATGTCTGTGTTAAAATACCACTACCACTGGAGGAAGTGAGGGACTCCACACATTTGACAGGAAGATACATAATTTTCTCCTCTCCCAACTACACTGGGTACCTAACAGTAGACACAGGAATTTGTATACAAGTATTCTAGTGAA